AGAGGACATGGCCTGCGAATGAAGGAGGATAAGTTCAGAACAAATCTGCGGAAACACTATTTCAGTGAGCAAGTAGTAAATGTATGGAATAAGCTCCCTAGGGAGATGGTGGAATCAGATAGATTTCTTTAGGTCATAATATCTCAGGATACAGTATATAGTTTGGGACATGACATGTGCATGCAACTGCCAAGATGATGGAAAGCGAACTGGATGGACCTCAGTCTTCTTTCGTCTAGGAGTTCTTATGTTCTTGTAGTTTGAGTGGCACTGCTGAGATCTTGTTAAAACTGAGCAGTATCAGCTATTCAGTTTGACAAATTATTGACAATCCAATTGCCAAACCTCATTTTAGAAACTCAGATTACATACATATTCCCTCCAAAATTCTGTGTGCCACGTTTTGTTTGTAAAATCTGTTTGTAGAAGACTCACTAATAAAATATATTTCCAAGTTTCACATGCTGCAGCCAAGGATGATGTTCATCCCACGTTTCTGGCACAGGACACAAACGCTGGAGGTTAAACCTACTGCATTCCACACGTCTCGGTTTACCCAATGTGCAAAGAGGAAGTTTCAGCCCAACAAAAACTTTCACTTGGTAACATTTATAAATAAATCATTTGAACACTTCCAACAGCATTTCAATCTGCACTTCTCCAATAAAATTACTAACTGTCTGGTTGGCTCAATCCCTACCTCGAGACTTGAGTTTACAATGAATGCATTGACAGAGATGCAGTTGTTCGATTTTTCCTTAATTCTCTGAGATTTTTAAAATAAAAATTTTTGCACCCCAGAGTGAAGAATGTCAATAATAGAACATTTTGCCGACAAAGTATACAGTCAATTCACTTTGCAGTATATTCTCTGAAGCAAGGAGAGCATTTTAAAAGTCGAGTCGTGAGGTGACAAACGAGGGAACAAGTGTTTTGGCTGCTTCTGGGGTAAGGGACGGTCGGAGACATCTAAACGATGTGATAAGGTGCTATATCAAATGCAAGGATTATTATTACTACCTTCCAATTTTCTGCTTTTGGCACCTACTAGTGGCCTCATTGAGCACTTGTATATTCTGTAAAGCACACATCAATGCAAGATAAAAGTAAAGCTCCTGCTTGGCTTCTCCCAACCTCAACTCAGTATCGGCCGTGACACCAAAATAAAACTCCCCCTCCACTCTCCTCCCATTTCCAATATCTTTGTGATCTCTAAGTGAGATGGTAAAATAGTTCTGGGTAATAATAATTTTTTTTTAGATTTGACATAATCGTGAGGACACCTCAAAGTGCTTCTCAGGATATACTATAAAGTGGAGTGACTGTATTTTGCAGGTGAACATGGCAACCAATTTACACACAGCAATGTTTCACAACATACAGCCATTCTGCTTTACAATATATCCTGTGAAGCGCTTTGAAATGTCTTGACGACATGATAAATTAATTATTAATAATAATACCTCATATCAGGAGGGCATCCTAAAGTGCTTCATGTGATATACTGTAAAATGTAGTGACTGAATGTGTTTTGTGGATGAACACAGCAGCCAACATGTGCACACCATGAAATGAATGCCCTATTTTTATTGCTTTCAAGATACAAACAAAAGACTATTTGGAATTAAATCAGCTGGTACTTTGTTGAATTTATTGACGTGGTTGGTGGAGCTGGTCAATGCCAGATCTATACAGATATTACCTGGGTTTGTAGAGCGAAGTGACCGGATGAACCCATCACCGTATACATTTTATAGTTTCATTCAGTATGTTGGTCATTAATAGTGATTCCCCAACAACTAATTATGTTGAAATTGCCAGTAGATTACACTAACTACCAGAAATGACAGGTTGCCCTCCCAGAGGCCAAAAATGCTTGTGCAGCTTAATGTAAATTTGCAACACAACGTGTATTATCAGTCGCCAACAGTTGCCAACAGACAAATTATCTGAGGCTGAATCAGATGGCACAGAATCCTTCCTTTGTTACACATCTTATGACATTCAATGATAAAACAATTGGCATCAGGTTTGCCCCCCGACCAGCCCCCCCCCCCCCCGCAACTGCACGACATGACTGACGGTGAAGTGGATCACCCCGCCAGTTAAAAAATCAGAGTTAAACCAGTGTCCCAGGAAGTCTCTGGCTGGCAAGTCTAATGGTGGGGGGGGGTCAGGCTTTGTCATCAATCATGTGAGGTTGCGACATTAATCCCTCTCCACTGCCTCGCCCAACTCCTACAACCTCCTGCATCTCAGCTTCCCTGCTGTTCCTCCGAGCAGCAAACAGTTGCCTGCTTCATATCTGCCGCCCGATCGACCTAACCATTGCCAGACAGACTCTCAGGCACTCTGTCCTCGTTCTCTGGTACTCTGTTCCTAAGTTTCTCCCTCACCCTTTTAAAGCGCTTTGAGACATCCTCCTGATGTAAAAGGTTGGTGAGTCACACATGGCCAGTTTTCTGTTATTAAGTGATTTCAGTTATCACCTTTTAAACTCTTTTATCCAGACTGCACCAATTCAAGCTTTCAGTCATGTCCCTTCAGTACAATCGACGAACAACAAAATTACATTTGTATAGCAACTTTCATGTCGGGAAGACATCCCAAGGCGCTGGACAGACAGAGTTACGGACCCGAGCTAGGGGTTGGGGTAGGGGAGGGCTGGGGGGGAAGCAGAGAGATCGAAAGCACAATCGAAGAGGAGGGTCTTGAGGTGGGTCTTGAAGGTGGTGAGTGAGAGGGAGGGACTGCGGGATGGAGTTCCAGAGGGTGGGGGCAGAGTGGCGGAAGGCCCGCCCGCCAATAGTGGGGCAAGCAAGGCGGGGGACATGAAGCAGGCCGGAGCCCGCTGAGCGGAGGGAGCGAAAAGAGTGGTAGGGGGGAGCAAGACAGCGGAGGGCTTTGAAGGTGAGGATCAGGATCTTGCACTGTGTCCTGTGTGTGATGGGAAGCCAGTGGAGTTGGGCAAGGATGGGGGTTATAGGGTCACGGAGCCTAGTGTGGGAGAGGACACGGGCTGCAGAGTTCTGGATGATCTGCAGCCTGTGGAGGGAGGAGATGGGGAGGCCAACAAGCAATGAGTTTGCATAGTTGAGCCTTGATGTAATGAATGCGTGTATGAGGGTTTCGGTGGCCTGCGTTGTGAGACAGTCGGAGCCGGGTGACGTTGCAGTGGTGGATGAAGGCAGAGCGGGTCATGGCGCAGATGTGGGGTAGACAGGATAGTTGGGGGTCAAACAAAACCCCAAGGTTCCAGACTGGCTTAGCAAGGTGGAGTGGGCAACCATGGATGGTGATGCTGTCAGCGCCTGAGGTGTGGAGGCGCTGACGGGAGCCAATCAGGAGAGCCTCAGTCTTGTTGACATTCAACTGTAGAAAGTTTGCTCTCATCCAGGACTTGATGTCTGACAGACATTCTGTCAGCACAGCAGTGATCCTGGAGTCAAGGGTGGAGGCAGAGAGGTAGAGTTGGGTGTCACCGCATACACGTGGAAGTTGACGTACTTGTCTCTGTCCTGTACCCGGTTGTGTCTTAAGTCAACAACTCTGATGCCAATCCATTCCAATTTTCGTGAAGTCAGACTGTGACCAAAGGACATTCTTGGACCCTGCAGGAGCTGGGTGTCCGGGCAAAGTTCCAGAGGATTATCCTGAGACAAATCCAGTCACTGGCAAGATTCACTATTTTTAAATCCTTTTATGAGTATCTCAAAACTGCACCTCAGCAAGACTCAGGATTGCATCCATTGAATTATCAAGTGAGTTGCTGGTGTAAAAATCATGACGATGTTTGACGTACTTGGGACATCTATTGGTAATGAGGTAAAGTGAGACAAATGTTTAACTATTTAAAGAAACTCAATCTCTTTAAGGTTTCTGCAAAGAATTACTTCTGCTCAGTCACATTTCACTCAAGGAAACATTACAAACGGCTTGCTCAAAGCCTGTAATGTGTGTACAGATACTGGAGCAAAGCGTAACTGGCCACAGCCTTAATTGTGAGCTCTCCATTACTATCATAGTAGTGGCTGAGCTCCACTCCACGTGCTTACCTTCTGGCTCTTTCAGATTATCTCAATGGGAAGGCCATCCGGGGTCACAGGCCTCTCCACAGTCCCATTCAGCAGCTGCTGGCAGGAGGGAGATGGCCCGTTTGTATGTTGGTACCCAGATCCCCTTCCCCCACTTCCCTCAACAACAAAGTGCAGCTCTTCTCTTATACATACTGCTCAAGGATTAAACCAACAAAATACACAGTCAAAACACTATTGCATAGTATATCTTGAGAAGCGCTTTGAGATGTTCTCCCAGCGTGAAAGGCAGGTGGTATATCAAAAGTTAAAGGATGATTCTAACAATAGAGGGGAAGAAGAAATTCACTACTGTGAAAAATGTAAATTGAAGAATAGGGCTGCCTTCTGGTGAGGAAGCGTGCTCTATACGTGTGTACCATGATCTGCTGCGACGCTTAATGTTACAAACTGAGAGAATATTTTAAAAGAAATGAAAACTGTGTGCACCGAGAGACTTGCAGCAAAGAGCAGAATGTGAATCTGGCAGTAACTGGAACCCAAGGCACTGCATTGTTCACCAGTCTTCACTGCCTTCTTTGTGCTGAAATTATTCCCTGCGATCTGGCACATGTCACAAATTCCTCATTTCTGGCTCAGGAAAGACAAAGAAAACTTAAAACACGCTCTATAGGTAAGCTTTCCTTTTTTTGGGATCTATTCTCTATTAAAGTTAAGCTTTCATACCATACACTTAGGAGGAGAAAGTGCACGTGTATTTATTTTCCCTGCTCTGAAGTCTGTAGATCCTGAGATTGCACCTAAGTCTTTTTTTGTTAAATTGCTCAACTAGAGTGAAACTACACTTGTCCAAGGCACAGCGTTGCCAAACATTGTTTAACACGAACCATTGTTCTTTGAACTGAACATTCTCACAACCATCAATTCAACACAACTGGAAGAGGTAAAGTGCAGCCCTGAACTTACGGTTACAGTCAGTCTCCTCCTGTACAGCACAGCGCACAACATTCATATCCTCGCGCAGGCTTAGACTGCAGCTACCACAAGGAAAAGACTTGTGTGGCTATCAAAGACTGCATCCTGAAACGTCTTTCACTCTTCAGTCAAAATGCAGTGCACACGAGTACCTCTTGCTGGGTTAACCGGCACGTCAATTTACATGCAAATAGCAGCTCTACCGGGGCCTGTCAGAGTGAAGAATGGAGCCTTGTCAGCAGCTTTAACCAACCAAGGCCACTTAAATCCACTTTTTGGCATGCCCTGTTACTTACTGAAAGTTTTTCTTCTTGCACACCGCAGAAATGTTTATCTGAATTCCTGGGGAATGTTTATGTTCACTTATGATCCATCACAGTCTGCTTAGCTGCTCGGGACGCGTGCGAGAATAGAGTGAGAAGATACCTGCCACCGCTTGTCACGCAGGCATCAATTCCCTTTCTAAAGTACAAATGCACATGTGTGATCGCACTCAAGACTACCGCTCACAAACTGTGTAAGCTGAAGGAAAGCAGTTTTTAATGAGATACATTTCTCCAAAATGAAACTCTTAATAAAACTTTTACACAAAAAATTCCACTGTGAAGTTATCGCACACAGATTTGCCTCAATTTAATACATATGACAGTTCATAGTGTTACAGCATGACAACAGGCCATTCAGCCTATTAAGTAAACGCTGGTGTTTTTTTCCCACTTGGGTCACCTAATAGAAGCCCACTCCACTGCAAGTTCTCCAGACCTATTAATATTTACAATACCTATTTACAATTAATATTTACAATTAATAATGTAATACTTGCATTTACTTAGCACCCATTGCATAGGATAACTTCTCAGGAGCTTCATAGTAGCTGATAGTTCCATTAATATTTACATTCTGCAAGTACAATACTTCACCTTACAAATATAAACATTATAAACACTGTAACTCAGTGGTTAAAGCATTTGCCTCGCAAGTGAGAGACATGGCTTTGATTCCTGGCGGGGCGAAATGTTGGGCAAGTTTCCTTACTCCACATGCCTCTGTGTTTACCTAGCAGTAAGTAGGTTGTTGGTGGATTGGCGGATCGCTTTTCCAGGAGTAATAATTTCTTCAAAAAAATAATAATAAATTGGACACTCAAATCACGACTGTTTGTGGAACAGTGCTGTGCGCAATTGGCTGCCACGTTTCGCCCACAAAATATACTGTCAATTCACTTTACAGTATATTTCATGAAGCGCTTTGAGACGTCTCAAAGACATGATAAAGCTCTACATCAAATGCAAGGATTATTATTATTAGCTTCTTTCAACTAATGTATGACTTAATTATTGATCAAACGCCTATTGTAAGGTCAAGAGGAGGACAACTCACTGATGATTTCACTAAGTTGAGCTACATTCTCAGCACCTCTGACAGTGAAGCAGCTAATGTCTGTCTGCAGCAAGATCTGGAAAACATCCAGGCTTGGGCTGACGAGCGGCAGATAACATTTGCACCACTAAGTGCCATATAATAACCATCTCCAAAAAGAGAAAACCCAGCTACCTCCTGCTGATCTTCAATGGCACAGCAATTGCCATCAACATCCTGGGGATCACCACTGACAAGAAAGTTAACTGAGACAGCCATATCAACACCATGAACACAGATCAGGGCAAGAGTTTAGATACTCTGTGTCCAACAGCTCACCTCCTAACACCACAGTGCCTCCCACCATTTACAAGCTTCAAGTCAGGAGTGTAATGCCTCTTTTCAAGGCCGAGGTCTCTATCTTCTTCAGTTACTCCTTATAGAACGCAATTTACATTATTGAACTCCTTTCACATCAGTCTTAAAGCTTTTCGCAGTCCAATGCTTATAGTTCTTCACATTAACACTAAGGACCAGCTTGTTGCTCTTGTTGCACTGTCACCACAGCGTCCTTATTTTGTGGAAGTCGGAACTATACGCAGTACTTTAGGGTGTAACTTGGCCCTAGCCCTGTGCAACTTGATCATGCTCCTCCAGCCTGCTCCCTAAAACAAAATTCAAAACAGGAACCATGAATACTGACACAAAATAGTCTAGCGCCAGTTTAAATAGTATACAAAACAATTTGCATTTATGTAGCACCTTTCACCATTCATACAGAACGCCTGAGCCGCTGAGTGAAGGGGTTTGGTATAGGAGTGGGGGTGTGTGAGCAATATACAATTCAATGGTATTAGGTTTAATCTCATCCATGTTAACTGTTCCTCAGAAGGACAGCACTGACTCTGATGTATTTTTCATCACAAGTTACAAAAAGCATTGGATTCAAAGCTTGTAAGTTTCTATTGACGGTTTTGGATGTTGTGATACAACGGAGCAATAAAAGGCATTCTCCTTGGCCTGGGTGTTAAATCACAAATCTTTTGGAAAAGCCGTAGGCAAGGTTACAGAGGCTGTGAGTGAGGGCGACATGGCATTTTGATTTATAGATTTCATAAATGAACATTGTCATTTTTCCATACCCGAAAGGGGCTACGAGTGGAATTTGTCAAATGCATCGGAGATACTTTTTACACATTAGAAAAATGACCCTGATATCCCAGACACTCAAATGTACTCTTGAGTGCAAACAGTAAAATGTAAAAATGTAAGCAGCATTTCAAACACTGAGTCTATCTTGTGCTCACTGTTCTTAAAACAGCCTTCCATTCCTTCAGAATATTTCTCCATAGGTGTGACATTGACACCTTACGGAGAAAAAAAAGCTACAGTAATGCAAGCCAGCTCTTGAGGAATTGAATTGATATTCATGTATCCTTTGAATACAACCCTTGATCTATGTGGCTGGAGGAAAGGGAGGAACAGCCTTCAGTTAAAATATACCCCGAAAACAAGTTGCATGTGTTGAAAAGAATTATTGGAAAATAAGAACATAAGAATTAGGAGCAGGAGTAGGCCATTCGGCCCCTCGAGCCTGCCTGGCCATTCAATAAGATCACGGCTGATCTTCAGACCTAACTCTAATTACCTGCCCTATCCCCATATCCCCTAATCCCTCTATTTTTTAAAAATCTATCAGTCTCAGCCTTGAAGATATTCAAAGACTGAGCATCTACAGCCTTCTGGGGTAGTGAATTCCATAAGTTCACTACCCTCTGAGTGGAGAAATGTTTCCTCAACTCTGTTCTAAAATGCTAACCCTTCATTTTAATACTGTGACCCCTGGCTATAGATTCTCCTACCAGGGGAAACAGACCCTCAGTGTCTACTTTATCCAGCTCTTTAAGAATCTTATATGTTTCAATAAGATCTCCCCTAACTCTTCTGTACTATAGGGAATATAGCCCCAGTTTATTCAGCCTATCCTCATAGGTCAGTCCCCTCATCCCAGGAACTAACTGAGTGAATCTACGCTGCACCCCCTCTAGGGCAAGTATGTCCTTTTTTAAATAAGGAGATCAAAACTGCACACAATATTCTAGGTACAATCTCACCAAAGCCCTAAACAGTTGCAGCAAGACTTCCCTACTCTTGTACTCTGAACCTTTTGCAATGAACGTTATCATGCCGTTTGCCTTCTTAGTTGGAGTCCTGTAGCTCAGTGGTTAGAGCACTCGCTTTGCAAGTGAGAGACCTGAGTTCAATTCCAGGCAGGGCGAAACCTTGGGCAAGTTTCCTTACTCCACACGCCTAATAATAATCCCTCCAAAAACCCCAAACAATAGTAAATTGGTCATTTTCAATCTACGACTGTTTGTGGGACATTGCTGTGCGCAATTGGCTGCCGCGTTCGCCCACAAATATACAGTCAATTCACTTTACAGTGTGTTCTGTGAAGCGCTTTGGGACATCCTCCCGACGTGAAAAGCGCTATATCAAATGCAAGGATTATTAGTTGCTTGCTGCACCTGCAAACTAACTTTTTGAGACTGGTGTACAAGGACACCCAAATCCCTCTGAACACTAACATTATCTAATCTCTCCCCCTCAAGAAAATAATCTGTTTTTCTATTTTTTCTACCTAGGTGAATAACTTCACACTTCCCCATATTAAATTTCATCTGCCACCTACTCACCCACTCCCCTAGCCTATCTATATCCCGTTGCAATCTTTTTTGCATCAACCTCAGAGCTTACTCTCCCACTTAGTTTAGTGTCATGGGACGTCCGAAAGGGGCTCCGAGTGGAATTTGTCAAATGCATCGGAGAGACTTGGGACGTCCTCCCGACGTGAAAGGCGCTCTCTAAGTGGAATCTTGTTGTTGTTGTTGTCATCCGCGAATTTAGATACGTTACATTCAATGTCCTCATCTAAATCATTGATGTAAATTGTAACTGAATTGGAAAACTGCAGTGAAAATGCTGGGAAATGTGTCTCATAACATGAACTGCATCTCATGAAAGTAACCCATGCACATCATTACATCACTCTGACTCATGAGGTACAGACTCTGACTGCAGAGATTACCTTGGAGCAAACCTCTGGTGGATCAATGTGACAAACATGGGTTCACTACACAAGACCCATTTGATGTCCTGAGATGCTATATGAAAATGATTGCAACATTTACTCTGCATTTTTTTCCTCTTCTTAATCACAATGAACCCAAAGTGGCTTGGAAATTTTGAAGCTTTTTCCATATGGTAATGAGGATTTGGTAATCTTTAACCTTTTCTCAACGATACAGAAATTCTACACCAACACAATGCAAAGAGTTAAACAAGAGTGATTAATCTGTATAACACTAAGTAACCTTCACATCACACATTGTGGTGTTGACACTGGAGAACCATGGTACTAAAGTAATCAAGTTTTCTCTATAAGCTTTTCAGACCTGACAACAGGATTGTTCATAAGATAACTAAAATACTATCTCATGTTGTGAGAAAAATCATTCAATAAATCAAACCTCAAACTAATATGCAAAAGCCTCAATTGACTTGTCACAAATTAATTCCTTGGCCTGTGCTTCAGGGCATCCGAGAGAATGAGAGACAGCACTGATGTGCTGTTCCACTAGGTCATTTATCATCTCTATACAACTAGAATCCGTCGGATGTGGCAG